GTGCAGCGCCGTGGAGCACATGCACTCGCGCCGTGTCATGCACCGAGGTACGTGCCATCACCACCCCCCACCACCCGCCCCGGCCTGCCCCACCCGATGGGCACGGGCCAGCCTGTGTTCCCCCTGGAGGGTGCCAATCTTGCCTGTCTGGAGTGGAACCAGAGAGGACCCAGCTGTGAGGTGCCAGGCCTGACTATATGCACACCCCTCATGCCGCTGCTTGCCTGGCATCTCCTGTCCCTGACACCCAGCACAGAGAGGGTGCAGCAGCAGGGCCTGAAGGGTGGCTGGAGACACAGTCAAGCATGGCAGTTCCAGGACGGCTGCAGCTCTACCTGGAAGTCAGAAGAAGCCTCCCCTAAAAGGGAGCTTTTCCTATGGGTTTTGAAGTCTTAGTAGGAGTTGGCTGGAAAACAGAGACACCAACCAAAGACTGTTTCCAAAAGTTGTCATCATCCCTGAGAGGTTAGGAAGGAGCTGCCTGGTCAGAGCACCTGCTGGGTGCCAAGCAGGGTTCTGGGTACTTGGCACGGTTCACTCCATGGATTCCTCATTCATTCATCCACGCATTCACCCATTCCCTCATTCCTTCCATCTGTATTCATCGGTGTCTACTGTGTGTGAGGTCCTGCCTTTACCACAGCTTATCTTGAGTATTTCATCTGTTCACACAAATACTGTATGAGTGCCTACTACGTGCTATGTACTATTCTAGACACTAGGCATACAGCTATTACATAATAAAAAAAGTTGTTAAGCCCTCTCACAGATCTCCAGCAGCTCTGGGAAAGTAGGTAGCGGTAGACCCTGTATACCAGTGGTTCTCAACCTGTGGGTCTCGACCCCTTGTGGGTTGAACGACCCTTTCACAGGGGTCACCCAATTCATAACAGTAGGAAATGACAGTTATGAAGTAGCAATGAAAATAATTTTATGGTTGGGGTCACCACAACATGAGGAACTGCATTAAAGGGTCGCGGCATTGGGAAGGTTGAGAACCACTGCTTTATACAGACATAGAAACTGAGGCTCACCCAGGAAGGTAAGCTCCCGGAGGGCCCATGCAGGAGATCCAGGCCAGGGCCCTCCCTTGCCTGAAGGGCCTTTTATCCCTAGCTCTCCTGGGCCACCAGGCCTTTTCCTTCCTCCAGGCCCACCTACCCCAACCTCCATGTCCCCAACCAACCCCTGCTCCTTCCCCGGCAGACATCAAGCCAGCCAATGTGTTCATCACTGCCACAGGTGTGGTGAAGCTTGGTGACCTGGGCCTGGGCCGCTTCTTCAGCTCCGAGACCACCGCAGCCCATTCCCTAGGTAAGCGGAGTCAGCTTGTGCCCCAACAGCGCCCCCCAGTGGTCCCATGGGAAATTCAGACATTCTCCCACTGTGCCCTGCTCCCTCCATTGAGGGCGGAACACTGCTTCTGGGCATCAGGTTTTCCCCTTCTCTTTCACGCCAGACGTGCTCCCAAGCACTTGCTGTTGGTGCCCCAGCAGTGACCCAGAGAGGGAGAGATGAGGCCTCGGGTGGCCTCTCAGCCCTGCCAGGCCATGCTGTGGGGCGGGGCGATCCGTCTCTTGCTGGAAGAGGCCCTCGTTGCGTCGTGACCTCCGTGTGATACTCCACGAGTGACTGTGCCACACTCTGGCCGTTCTTTGGGCTGGGGGGCGCCGGGGCTGTGTCCTGTTGGGGAGCTCGTTAATAGGCAGTGTGGGCCCTGTGGGAGCTGGGGCCCTCAGCCAGGAGGAGGTGGCGAGGGAGGCCGGAAACAGCATCCCAGGAAAGGAACAGGGTGTGCAGAGGTGCTTTGACTCAGTAGGTGGCCTGGTTTGGCTGGATAGCAGGGTCTTTGGGAGGGTGCTACGGGGGACCAGATGGGACCTCAAACCCTGAGCTCGGTGGTCTGTTCTCTACCTTGGGGTAAAACAGGAGTGGGCTTCAGAATGCACTGCCAGATCTGTAACTTACTGGGAAACTTGGCATGATGGATGATGGGGAGTTTTCATTAGAATCTAGAAGCCAGCAACACTCCCCCCCACCCCACCCCCAGCCACGCACTGAAACAGGACCCTCGTGCGTCACAAAGAGGTGTGTCAGCATTTAACTTCTGCACCTGTGGGAGCACTTCCCAGCAGCCTGGTGGGGGTGGGGTGGAGATGGGCAGGGCCTGCTCTTTGATGTGGGGTTTTGCAGAGGAAGTGCCCTCATTGCTCTTGTAGCCCCCTCCCTAGATCCTGGTCCTCCCTGTGGGACCCACTGTTCTCCAGTCAGCCAGCCCCACCCAGTCAGTCAGTTAGTGGGTCTCCGCCCAACACCCTGGACCCTTCTGCCACTGCAGTTTGTCTGTGGAGCCCCAGCCTCAGAACCCTCACTGCCCCTGCATGTTCGCAGGGCTGAGTGGCACTCGGGGTAGAACACACAAGTAGGGGATCATCAGCCGGAGCTGCTTCGGGATTGTATGTGTGCATTGTGTGGTATAGGGGGGGGGGGGGGCATTCTGACTCTCAGTTCCTTCTGATCCTGGAACACCTAACAGTAGCCATCCTGTTGCCAGCCAGGCGACCTCAGGAGTCAGTGTCACTTTCCCTTCAGTTCAAAAGGAGAGGAGTCTGAGGCTCTGCCATTCAGGCCTCCCAGGGGCTGTGAGGGTCACAAGGCCCTTGATGTTTGCAAATGAAGACTCTGGGCTCAGGAAGTTTGAGTGATTCTCTCCCTCCCCCACCCCTCCCCGACGGCCTGGTCACAAAGCAGTAGAGCCAGGCCTTGAACCCAGAGCTGTTAGGTGCTGTCAGGTCAGTTTGGAGTTGTAACGACCTCGTGTGCAACGGCACCAAAGACTGAGTTCCCACGCCATCCCTCCAGGCACCGGAGCAGGTGTTTTTTCCAGAGACTTCCACCGGCCTCAGGAGATCTTCCTGGAGCACCGACTCTCCTACTGCTGGGATGAAAGCTCCTGGAGACTTGTTCAAATCAACGTGTGGCCGGGCTTGGGCACGGTATTTACCTCTTTGGTTTAAGAGCTTTGAAAAGGCCACCAATACAAGGGAAACCGTCAGAGAGGCGCGTCAAACCCACTGCCCCTGTCCCCGTCAGTCAGGCTCCAAGCCGAATCTGTCCCGCGCCAGAACAGACTGCTGCGCACCGTCAGAGCCCGTTACGATCACATCATTAGCAACGGGCAAAAATACCGTATCGTCCGACTGTGATTTTATCGACTTCGACTGGTGCACTTATTATATTAATGAGAAGGAATTGGAACTGGGGGAAAGGCCACCGCCGAAGCTGGGCTCTTCCTGGGGCCTCTGAGCATCTGCCAGCCCCTGGGATGGATGGAAGGAGCTGTCCTGGAACTGGCCCTCCCCCAAGGCTGGGCCCACAGAACTGAGGGCCTACTCTGCTCTGATCCAGGTTCCATGACAGCCACCCTGCAGGATCAAAGCCAGGGCCTGAAGTCCCCAAGACACAAAGGGGAAATTGCTGTTTCATAGTGAGGTTCTGCAAAACGGCACGCGCACACAAGCACACACACACACACACACACACTGGGCAAGAGCTTGGACTAATTGTCTCACACTGTAACTTGGGAAGGATGCAGGGGGCGGGGGCACCTTCACACTTCGTGCGTGGGTATGAATTATGCATCCACCGCGTCGAATGCGCACCTACTATGTGGGGACATTGTGGGGGCAGTCATGTTGCCCCGGCAACCACCTCGGCTCCAGAGGCTGCTGACCCAGGAGCCAGTATGCAAATCTGGGCTCTTCCTGCCTCCCCCTCCCTCAGCTCCTCCCCACCTCTGTATTTGCTAACATGAGGCTGGCATGAAAGGGCATTAGTCAGTGCCACGGCCGGGCTGACAGGTGCGGTACCCAGCGGTGGCAGAGCGGCTGCCTCGGTGTCAGGAATAGGAGCCGTAATTAGAGCGCGGAGCAGAATGAGCGTCAGACGAATTACCAGGCAGCAGATCATATTTGTCAGGAAGGATTGCATACATAAAAATTAAGTGACAGTACACGCCGGCGTAATGAAAGAAAAATGAAAGATTTGCCTATACACAGCTCACAAGCTACAAGCAAGTGTCTCGCTCCGAGCAATGGCAGCAGCTGCAAGACAAATTGTAGGGCTGGGAGAGCAGGCCCTGCTGGCTCGGTGGCAGTGACAGGGCCGCCTAGGGGGGAGCAGAGCTGGGAAGGGAGGCCTGCTCACACCCAGGACCTATGCAGGGTCCCATGCCACCTCCCAGGGCTGGGGGGGTTAGGGTGACGTCTGGTTGGGGTACCCTCCATTGGATCCAAGCAGTCAAACCAAGCCATGGGGCACTCCATCAGTCTTTCTCCTTCCCCAGAGTGGGCTGCCCGGCTCTGTGCTGGGTGCAGGGGACCTGGGAGTTATGTAGCCTTCAAGGGACGCCCATACTGGGGAAGGTGGGAGACAGACACAGGCCCAGCCAGCATGACAGGGTAAGGAGGCAGGTAGGAATCCTACCCTGAGGACCCCCTGTGTGCAGCACAGTTCTACGCTGCGCACCCAGCAGTTTGGGGTCTACTTAGGGTGTGGGACTGCCAGTAAGAGGGAAAGTTTAAAAATATTTGGAAAATAAGCTTTTTCACGATCTCACACAGTGGCTTATTATCTCCATTTTAAGTTAAGGAACTGAGGCTCAGAAGTGATCAGCCTTGCCTGGGGTGGGGGGGCGGTCACAGGAAAGGAGACTGAAGCTGGGTGTCAGCCCAGTTCCAGTGCTCTTCCCTGGGGCACCCCCCACAATGTGGCAGGATGTGGACTTGGGTCACGGGTGCCCAGAGAAGCGTTCAAGAAAGGTCTCCCCACAGGTATCTGAGTAGAGGGGATACCCAGTCAACTGCCGGCCCATGTGGGGGAAAGCCCATTCCATTTCGTGGTAGCAAGAGGTGGCCAGGGAGCAGGAGGGCTTGTCTGGACCCCCAGGGAAAGGAGTTGGAACCTTCTGCCCTGCGTGTGCAAGCATTCCCATGAGCCCCTGGGTCCTCAGGAGCCCAGTGTTGGTCACCCTGTGCTGTGACATGTCTGTCCCCCACCGCCGCTGCCCAGGGGGCTGGGCCATCCTCATAGTCAGGCGCTTCTGTGGTGGTGGGTCTCCCCCAAGCTTCACCCTGCCCCAGCAGCACAGGGCACCTGGGAACGACCCTTGGGAACTCTGTGCTTTTAACCCGGACCAGCTGTGCCAGCAAAAGAGCTCAAGCGCAAATTGCCAGAGAACAGACCGAGTGCGGACACCTGGGAGAGAGGACAGGCATTTCTGGCATTTTCAGAGGCACACACTCTTAGAAAAACAAGCTGATACCAGCAGGGGGATGGAGAGGACCAAGGGGGTGGGCCAGGATGCCAACTGCAGTTGTTCTGTTCATCGTCCGATGATTCAAAGCCCTGCCCTCACAGGACCCACAGTCTGGGAAGAAAATTCATTAGAGTTCTCACTGAGCCAAAGCTGACTTTTATAATTGCTGCCGAAGTCAAATAACCTTCATGCTCCCAGCCATTCCGGGGTGAGAACTGTCACTTGCAGTAGGTAAAGCCTGAGGCATGTACAGTATGGGCCGTGTGCAGGAAGGTAAATCGGAGATTCCCTGAGCCATCTTTGGATGAAACCCTCTGACCAGGAAAACACTGGGTGCCATTTAGAATCACTGGGCTGTGCTACCTGATTTCCACGTTGGTCATAACAAAGCAAGCCCACCAAGTCCATTCTTACTCAGAGCCACCCCATAGGGCAGAGTGGAACTGCTCCCTGGAGACGCCACGGCTGCACATCTTTACAAGAACAGACAGCCTCCGCTGTCGCTTGCTGAGCAGCTGGTAGGTTCTACCTGTGGAGACTGTGCTTAGCCACTACGCCACCACATTGATGACGCTCAATAATGTTTTTACGTGCCATCGAGTCAGCGCTGACCCATAGCGACCCTATGCACAACAGCAGAATGAAACATCGCACGGTCCTGCGCCACCTTTACAAGTGTTCTTATGCCTGAGCCCATGGATGCAGCCATTGTGTCAATCCATCTCGTTGGGGGCCTTCCTTTTTTCGCCGGCCCTCCACTTTACCAAACATGATGTCCTTCTCCAGGGACTGATTTCTCCTGACAATATGTCCAAAGTATGTAAGATGAAGTCTGGCCATCCTTGCATCTACGGAGCACTCAGGCCTCACTTCTAATAGATGGGGTTGTCCTTTTAGCAGTCCATGGTACTTCCAATAGTCTTCTCCAGCACCACAGCTCAAATGCAGCTATTCTCCTACAGTCTTCCTTATTCACGGTCCAACTTCTGTGTGCATTATGGTGCTACGTAGAATACCATGGCTTGGGTCAGGCACACCTTCGTCCCCAAAGTAACATCCTTCCTCTTCAATACTCCAAAGACGTCTTGTGCAGTAGGTTTACCTAATGCAATAGGTCTTTTGATCTCTTGATTGCTCCTTTCCTGAGCATTGAGTGTGGATCCAAGTACAACCAAATTCAAATTCTCCATTTATCATGATGTTACCTTTGATCCAGTTGTGACCATTAGGTCTTCCTTACTTTGAGTTGCAATGCATACTGAAGGCTACCATCCTTGATCTTCATAGCAAGGGCTTCAGTTACTCCTCACTGTCTGCGTACCTCAGATTGTTAATAAGCCTTCCTCCAATTCTCATGCCACACTCTTCTTCATATAAGCCAGCTTCTCTGATGACTTGCTCAGCATACAGATTGAACAAGTATGGTGAGAGGATACAACCCTGACACACATCTTTCCTGATTTTAAACGGTGCAGGATTCCCTCGCACAACTGCCTCTTGATCCATATTCTCATTCTTCTCAAGGTTACCCATGGTTTCTTGTGGTCCACACGGTCGAATGCCTTTGCAGAGTCCATGAAACACAAGTAAACATCTTTCTGGTAGTCTCTACTTTGAGCCCAGTTCTAGCTGACATCAGCAATGATAGCCCTTGTTCCACATCCTCTTCTGAATCCAGTCTGAACTTCTGGCAGTTCCTGTCAATGTACTGCTGCAACCGTTACTGGATAACCTTTTATCTTTTTATCACTCTTATCACCATCCATACATACATCCATTGTGTCAAACACATTTGTACATCTGTTGCCATCATCATTCTCAAAACATTTGCTTTCTACTTGAACCCCTGGTATCAGCTCATTTTATCCCTTCCTCCCTGCTCCCCTCTCCCTCATGAACCCTGATAATTTGTTATTATTATTTTGTCATATCTTACACTGTCCAGCGTCTCCCTTCACCCACTTTTCTGTTGTCCATCCCCAGGGAGGAGGTTATATGTAGATCCTTGTAATTGGTTACCCCTCTCTACCCCACCCTCCCGGTATCACCACTCTCAGCACTGGTCCTGAAGGGATCATCTATCCTGGATTCCCTGTGTTTCCAGTTCCTATGTGTACCAGTGTACATCCTCTGGTCTACCAGATTTGTAAGGTAGAATTAGGATCATGATGGGGGTGGAGGGAAGCACTTAGGAACTAGAGGAAAGTTGTATGTTTCATCTGTTGGATAATCTTAAGCAAAATTTTACTGGTGTGCAGTATCAAAGATACTGTTCTATAGTGGGGACAGTCTGTGGGTCACCTTTCTTTGGAGTGTGCACAAATACGGATCTCTTCCAGTCAGTTGGCCAAGTGGCCTGACATTAAGATGAGTGAGACACTCAACAGAAACGAGTAGGGATTTGTACAATGAAAGCCACTGGAAATTAAGTCAATGCTGAGAGAAGTACCATTTCCCCCCACATGCTACTTCTGAGGTCTTTGCATAGCTCGGCCTGGGCTCCACTGGTTCGTGTGAGTCCATCTAGAAGTGCCTCCGAAGAAAGGCCTGGGCATGTACTTCTGAAACCCTCTGGAGCCCAGTCCTAATCGGGAGCACACAGGGTCACAGGAATCAGGGTGGACTCCACGGCAAAGGCTTTGGCTTGGGTTTAAGTGGTGATCAGTGATAGTTTACCCAATACGCAAGGTAAGAATGGATTTACTTGTATTTCCTTAACGAATCCACAGTGAACAATTTCATGTCTCTTCACCACATCCAAGATTCCGCTTCCAGGTGTGGTTGGCATCTGTCTCACTCCGGACCCCACTGCGCCATCCTTCCTGCAGGCAAGCCTAGTGGTGGTGATGTGTTGCTGCCCAGGGTCCTGTGTTGAGGAGATTTGGGGGGACAAGTGAGTGTCGAGGGGTCTAAGATGCCAGGCTGAGGACTGGGGTGGGAGAGGTTTGGTGGTGAGCAGGGCTGTAGCGTGGGTGGGAATGGGAACACAGTGAATGAGTCTTTCGCAGCAGCTCCAGGGATGGAGAGGAGTGGAGACCTCACCACTGGGGAGGTCCCAGAGCCCTTCCACCCACATATCCCCCACAAAGCTTATGTGACTATGCCCATTTTCCGCGGCCAAAGCTCAGAAAGGCGAAAGGAAGGACGCTTGGGAGTTCAACCCCTTCCGCTTACAGCCCCCAGGCCCTCTCAGAGGGAGCAAGAGGAGACTGTCTTCTCCCATACCGATACACCATCTCTCGCAGGTGGTTCTACTGATGGGGAAACCGAGGCTGAGAGACACCCCCCCCACCCAAGTGCTCAGCCAGTGAGTGAGTGAACCAGGTTCAAGTCTAGCTGGGCCAGGATCGGACACCCAAGGGCGCACGCGCACACACTCACCCACCCCACCCCAGACAGGACCACATCCTCCTGTCTTTGTGAACCAGCCGCGTGGGCGGGTATGGCAGCTCACACGCGGGCACCCACACCGCCTCTCCTAGCGTTTTCCTCCCTGGCGAACGTGTTTCCGAGCGTTTCACGCCGGGGCAGGACGTGGCCAAGTGGCGTGCCCACGCCGAGGGGGAGACGGGAGCGCCGCCCCGAGGCCGGGCCGGGCGACGCCGTGGGGCCAGAAGTGCCCGCACAGGCTCCTGGGACGGACAGGGTCCCTCCCTCCGGCGTGCCGCTCCGTGGGCTCCTCGTTCTCGCTCTCGCGTCCCCGGCGGCCTGCCTCCCTCGGGCTGGGGACACGTCTTCAGTGCTGCTGCCAGCTGGGGATGTCCTTGCCGGCGCGTTTGGTCTTGACAACTCTCGCACGCCGGGCGTCATGCCCCCTAAAAACCAAGACTTTAAATGACTTCCAAACCAAAATCAGGCTCGCAGCCACCGATTTGGTGCCGACTCTCTAGGGCAGGATGGAGCTGCCCCTGTGGGTTTTCAAGACGATAACTCTTTAGAGGCACAGAAAGCCCCATCGTTTGTCCCTGGCGCAGCTGGTGGTTTCTCACCGGCGACCTTGCGGTTAGTGGCCCAACGTGTAACCACTACATCCATCACCGGGGCACCTTTAAAGTGACTTCCTCCCAGGAAAAGGGGCATGGCACGAGGTTGTGTTACTTGTAGGCCCTCATGCGCAGCTGGGAGCCCTGCAGGTGAGACAGAATACCCCAGGGCAGGAGACCAAGAAAAAGCAGCCCTTCCCATAGGACAGGAATACTGAGCACCCCTGGCCAAGCCTCCCTCCTGACAGGGTGAGCACGGGCGAGGGAGGCCTCGTAGGCACACTCCCCACGCCCACCCGCTTAGACTGTGGGGTGCAGATGCGTTGACCTGATCCACAGGTACTCCCCCTGTGGGCCAGGCCAGCCTTTCCTTGACGTGTGAGATTAACTGGCTCCTGTAGGTGCTTCCTGGGACTAGCAGCTCACAACTCTTGGGCCCACTTCTGGAAGGGTTCAGCTGGCCATGGCAGCCTCAGGCCAAAGCCCAGGCTACCCTGTGAGCCATCCCTCCTCCTCCCAGTCCCTGCTCTGGAAGCCCAGGTGGCTAGATCTAAAGCAAACTGAGGCTGAGGGAGGCGTGTCAGGGTTAGGCTCCTTACTCTCAACCAGAAGGGGGAGCAGCCAGGGGTTTTGGTCTTTGCAGACTGCCGGCATGGGGTTCATTCCCCACTGAGGACCGCGCCTCTGATTCGCACCGCTCCCGCTATGTCTGTGTAGCCCAGCATTCCATGGTGCCTTTCAGTGTGGAAAACAATTTACGCCTCATGGCCGCGTCTGTGGCACCCAGGGTGCCGGCATCCACGTACAGCCTGTCCCAAGATTCCCACTGTGAACTGTTTGGATTTCATCCTGTGGTTTGGATATGACAAGTCATCTGTTTCACACTTGGCCATTCATTTTACTTTTGTTCCCTCCTGACCGAAATACATAAGCAGTTCCAACTTGGATTCTCAATTTGCTTTTCCCATAGACGCCCACACAGATTTCTAAATCGACGGACGGCTCTTTTTGCTGCATTTCTGTTCGCAGTGGGCAGAAATACTGATCCCAGCTGCCCAGATTCTTGCATCTGGCTAGGTTCTGGAAATCTTTTTTTCTTTTTAATCCCTCCAGGGGATTTTAATGCCCTGCCAGCAGGGGCACCTCCCATCTGGCACACTCCCCTTCTTCAGATAGGTAGGACAGCCCCCGAGGGGCAGGAAGTATGCCCTAGGTGCAGTGAAACCAAGGCCGGCCTCTCCCCAGCCACCCCGTGCTGCCTCTCCCCCTTGCCAGTGCATCCTGCCCTGCAAGGAGCCTAAGCACCCACCCCGTTGGTGTGTTTCAGTTGGAACCCCATACTACATGTCACCAGAGAGGATCCATGAAAATGGCTACAACTTCAAGTCAGACATCTGGTCTCTGGGCTGCTTGCTGTATGAGGTGAGTCTCGCCCTGAGCTTGGTAGGAAACACACAGCATGGTGGGCGCCCGAACAGGGCAGGACACAGTGTGCCACCTCCACTTGCAACATCACCGGTACCATCTGCCACGAGCAATGTCAGACCAGAGGTGGTTGTCCGAGGGGTGGGGATGGCAGGCTGGGTGCCATCTGGGGAGAGGACAGACTGGAAGCAGGCAGTAGGGGTTCAGGGTCTGCTTGAGCAGTGGAGGGAGCGCGGGCAGGGCAGTGAGGGGGCGCCGGTTTGCTCAGATGACTTGTGCTTGCCAGTCAATCTCCAGCAGCCCCAGTTGGCCTGGTAGCCCCATTATCACACTGGCTCTGGGGACCGGAGAGGAATCTGATGTGGCTCACACCTCTGAAATGCTACCTGTTAAGTGATGGCCACATTCTTCCTGGCTCAGGACTGTGAGTCTCACTACAGACCAGGACCCCCTCCCCACACCATGCAACTTCGCCAGACTTGGCAGTCAACCTGAACCCAGGGGCGGGAGCGTTTATAAGTCTTGGTGGACTCGGGCAAAAGACAGCCAGAGTAGGTGAAGCCCCGCCCGTTTTGACCAGCCACATTTGGGGCCCCTGGGGACGGGGAGCTCAAGCCACTCAAGGCCACGAAGCTGTTGTCGCTGAGGGAGGAGGCCTGCCCCCTTTGGCTTTTCCACTAGTCCAGTGGTGCTCAACCTTCCTGATGCCGCGCCCCTTTCATACACTTCCTCATGTGGTGGGGATCCCCCAACCATAACTTTATTTTCATTGCTACTTCATCACTGTCATTTTGCTACTGTTGTGAATCAGGCAACCCCTGTGAAAGGGTCGTTCGATCCCCAAAGGGATTGTGACCCACAGGTTGAGACCTGCTGGATTAGTCTGGCCCGGACCACTCCGTGCTGGTGGCTCTGAGATTCCATTTGCATCCTGAACCCCAGCTGCCCATCCATAAAATGGGAAGAGTAATCCCTGCTCTGCCTGGTCATGGTCCAGATGAATAAGAGAGCAAAGGGCTTAGAAACACCCACTGGCTTGGAAACACCAAGCCCAGCTCCCTGGCTATCTGGGAGGGCCTTTCAAGGCCCAAGCAAGGGCCCTCAGCCTAGGAAGCAGATAGTACAGTTGGAGTTCTTTTGTATTTGTTGTTTTTGAGGGGGAGGGGTGTGTGTGTGTGTGCGCGTGTGCGTGTGTGTGTGTGTGTGTGTGTGTGTGTGTGTAGCAGCTCAGACAGCTACGAGGAATGAGCAGAGCAGTGAGCCCAGGCTTCAGTCAGAAGGACCCATGTTCAAATCTTGACTCTGGCATTCACTGAAGGATCTGCGGGCGTACCAGGCCCCTTACCCTCCCCGCCCCCCCCCCCCCCCCCCCCCCCCCCCCCCCCGGCTTCAGCTACCCACACAGAAAATGGGGTCACCCGCTCGTCTTTTTCAAGGAGGGAAAGAGACCCTGTAGGTGGAGTCCCTGGCTCAGCAAAGCCCTGGCTTAAGGTCCCTGCCACAGACCCCGCAGCTCAGCTGGTTCCTGCTCAGCCTTCCCCTCTGTGAAGAAATCCATTTTGTCCTCCGGTAGATGGTTCCTGGTCTACCTGAGTTTCCCTTTGCTGCATCCAGTTTGTGTAAAACGTACCCTGCGCTCTGTGAACCTGAGGGGCTCCAAATACAAACAGCCCAGCGGGTGCTGGAACCAGCGCCTCTCCCCCGAGCCCAGTGGGCGACCTGGCAGCTGACTCCTGTGGGCCGTGCCAAGCCACCCTCCAAAGAGCCAGCCTGGCAGCTGGTGGCTGCTGCAAGCTTTTGCTAAGGCCGAGCTGCCGGAGTCTGGGGCCCACGCAGTGGCAGTCCCACCTGGTTCCCAGTCACTATCCAGGGCACCCAGGCCCTAGTTCATTTCTTCGTTTGGGGGGCAGCAGTGGTGGCAGGGTGTGTGGGACGGTGCTGCCTCAGCTGGCAGCAAGCTCCAGACAGTGGGATATCAATGAAATAAATCAATAAAGGCCTGTGGAGGGATCGGAGTCCCTAGAGACGTGCTGAGCTCAACCTAATGGCCCCAGAACTCCCACATATGAGAACCAGGGTGGCTGAGGTGGTCATGTGGCCACCACCGCCGAGGGTCACGGGCGCTGCTGCAACCTTGCCCGAGTGGCCAGACTGGTGCACTCACAGTTCCAGAGGGGGAAGGGGGCTCCATCTGAGCCAGGGCCGTGCTAATTGGAAGGAAGCATCTGGGAGACATGAAAACAAGACTGGAGTCCGCTCGGCGGTCTGCTGCAGCATCTCAGAGGGTGCCAGCCGAAAGAGTTGTGACACAGCCCCCACCTACCCGCTCGGTCCCTGGTAGACAGTCAGGCTTAGCCTTGATGGGCCATCAGTGGGGTGGAAGTGTCAGAGACAACAGTGGGTTGAAATAGTGCCTGTCACAAATAGCCCCAGTGTGAGGGGTTGAAACACCATGTCTATTCTCGTAAAGCGCTGGAGGCCAGAAGTTCGAAATCCATTTCACTGGGCTTGAGTCTCGGGGTGGACAGGGCTGGTGCCTTCTGAAGGTTCTAGGGCAGAACCCGTTCCTTTGTCTTAGCTTCCCAGCCACCTGCACCCATTGGCTTGCAATTCCATCGTCACATCCCTCCATCCTTGGGCTTCCAGCTTCCTCACAAACCTCTCCTGGGCCAGCTCCCTGTCATCAGGGATTGCCTTCGAGGTCCACCAAGGTCATCCAGGGAAATCTCAAGATCTTTAACTTAATCACACCCGCAAGCCCCTCTGGCCACATAGCTCCTGTCATATCGCTGGGGGCCACTCCGTTCCTTTCACTCGAGCCCTGCCAAGGATCTCCAGGATCCCTTCCAGCTGCTGAGGGTGACCCAGAGTTAGGGAAGGGCTGCCCACCCCAGGGGTGGGTGCCACGTGGAGTCGGTCCTAAGGTCAGCAGCTGGAGCCATGCTGCCCTGGACGTTGGAAGAACTTGTAAGATTCAGACCCCAGCCTTCCTGTAAAGGAGGAGAAGGAGGTCTGGGCTTCCCACAGCAAAGCAGCAGCTAAACAGGCATCGGCTCCCAGACTGTCAAGTCCTGTGGGCAGCAGCCAGGCAGGCTCCAAGGCAGGAAGGATATGTGGGACCTGCTCCCAGCCCCGGGTTGCCATGGTAGAAAAAGAGGGTTCTCAGATCAGCGCCCCCACAAGGGGAAACCCCGATAGTGAGGCACCTGTGGTGACAGCACCTGCTCCTCCGGCGGGCGCTCCTGGCAGAGATGCCGGGGCACAGGCAGACGCATGGCCAGTGCTTTATTTTCATTACCCAGCATGCGCTGTGGAGGCATCCAGTGGGCTGCCTGGGCTCTGCAGAATGTATTTATTTACGTGGGAGCTTGGCTGAAGGAATTGTCTTTCTCAGTGATTCTCAACACCAGCCCCAAAATCCTCTGGGGCCTGGCAGGGGTGGAGTGGCACCCAGGATGGGGTTCGAGGGTGGACAACACAGGGGAGAAACTGATGGGGAAGGGACAGGGATCAGCCAGGCACTGCGCAGAATCCTTCCTGTTTTGGAAGACTAATTGGAATCGGCCGAACATTCTGGATGCCCCTACCTTGTGGTAGGAGGACTCTGGACTGCTTAGTAAATTGCCCTTGGGGTCACCCTTCACTCCAGGACATGCCTAAGAAGTCCTGCCTGCAAGATGCGTGTCTCGGGCCCAGACAGGGCAGGAGTCAAATGTTATCCCTGATCTCTTCTGACACCGCAAATCACACCCCAGCTTCTCTGAGCCCTCCCAGCGGGTTCCAGCAACCCTGTGCTCCCCTCTCCACAGCTACGTGCCATCTGGGAGCAGCCCTGAGAGCCAAGGCTTTGGCAGTTCTCACCTCACTCCCCCCCCGTGCCTATTCCCCTCTGCCAGTGGAGGCTGGGGGTGGGGTGGGATCACCTATAACAGATCTTGTCACCTGGGGAACTGTTCTAACCCCAGCTACTGGAACAGCCCCAGTGGTCCTGGGAGTCAGATCCCGCCACCCTGGTCTGGGTGGCAGGCCCTCTGTCAGCAGCTGGAGAGGGGACAGGAGGTCAGAAACTGCATTTGTGGGTGAAGACTCCGCCATTAGCAGGGAGGGCCTCAAGGGAGCACCTGCTGACCATCCCGAAAGATGCTTTTCTGAAAGGATGCCAGACGCGATGAAGAAATGATGTTGGGGGTGGCAGATAAGGGGCTTATGGTCACCCCCATTTCTGGGGTCCTTTTGGTGTCTAAAACAGCAAGGCTTCTGAAAGCCAGATCAGAGGGTATCGCTCTGTCCATCCCAGATCAATGCCCGAAAAACCAGGGCCAGCAGGGGCAGGGCCAACGTCGAGACTGCCCTGCTTTCAATTCCGAAGAGTCCCGGTCTCCTGGAGACCCTGCCCTAATCCTCCAGCCTGGACTTGGAAGGTGCCAGGGCCTCCCCACAGCCTCAACTGCTCACTGCTGTGGCGACAGATGCCCTTTGGAAACTGCCGGATTAACCCTTTGCACTCGAGGTTCTCATTGGAATTGTTGGAAATGCATCACCCCCATGATGCCATTTTGCAAATGCCTGGTCCGTGCATGCTTCATCCTTTGCAAGTGAAATGCCACCGCCACCCTCTGCGCCTTCCGGGTGGTTCATGCAGGTACCATCACTCCTCAGGGGCCCCAGCCCTCAGTCGCCCAGCAGGAGGAGGAAGGGATGTGGCCCTCAATGCCCACCTGAAGACGGCCATTTCGAAGGGTCCTCACATCCCTGGGCCACCCCAACAGTCGTTTCTAAACTCAGGGCTGCCCCTGGGACTCTGCAGCCTCCTTGGTCCTTCTGAAGGGGGCAGGCCCTGCCCTGGGGCCCCCAGACTTTTCCAGGCAGGTGAGCAGAGGTTGGGGACAGAATGGCAGAAAGATGGAGGCACCCCCAGGTACCCCTGCCATGGGCTCCATCTCCGCCCCCCACAGGCACAATCACCCTGCCATAGCCGCAGCCAGGAGCCCCAGGTCAGGAAGCCTTGCAGAGTGGCCTTCTCGGCCTGGCTGCTCAGAAGGAAACCGGGGCCCAAGGGACAGGCGGGCAGGGGGTTCAGGGGCACTGGAGTCCCATTATGGATCAATCAGCAGATGGGCTGGCGGGCGCTGTCCCAGGCTGCCACACTGCCGCCTCTGGGAGCCTGCCACACCTTCTTTGAAGACACCCCCCACGGCGGTGCTGAGTGGTGGGGTGGGAGAGCCTGGCAGTTCCCTCCCCACAGCCCTGAGCCAGTGCTCAGGAGGGGACCTGCCCTCAGGGTGGAGCCAGGTGCTCTTGGGGCCTTGGCCCTTTGCCAACCCAAGCCACACCACAGCCATGCAGGGTGCAGCCTCGACCCATTTTACAGACAAAGAACCTGAAGGTGAGAGAAGAAAAGGGATTTGTCCACGGTTTGTCCCAAAGCAAGCATGTGGCCGAGCTGCTGGGGACATGGGCAGCTAGAGCCAGACATACCCACCCCCACCCCCACCCCGAGCATCCCTGAGGAGGGCAGCTCCAGGGCGACCAGCTGCCCTCCCTCCCTCCCTCCCTGATGTCTGGGTGGCAGGCGGCAGAGTCACCACCTGAGTGCCCGTCCCCGCACACTGCCCTTTAACGAGCTGCCCAGGACAGCCCCGAAATAAATGCGTCCCTTTCCTCAGCCCTCAGCAAGGAGTCCTCAGTGGTCAGGAGGCAGCCTCCCTCGGGCGGCTCTGGAAGCGCTTGTGGGGAAGCAAAACAGCACGCAGCGAGAGCTGCCAGGTCCAGGCACAGGCCTGCGGGACCACCGGCACCGCTTCAGTGCTGGGGCACGAGGTGGGGGCAGTCCTGTCCCCCGCAGAATCCAGCTGCCCCTTCCTCATTGCCTTAAAAGGTTGGTCACTGAAACATTTGTGCCGTCATACATAAGATTATGGTGGGAGTGGGAGGAGGGGTGTCCAAACCCACACCCACAATGCTGCTCATAGCTACCCTATAGCACAGTAGCCCTGCTCCTGGTAGTTTCGGGCCTGCAATATTTGAGGGAAACAGCCTCATCTTTCTCCCACAGAGCAGCTGGTGGGATGGAGCTGTCAACGTTTCATTTTACTACTGCGTGCTTAGCCACCAAGCCACTAGGATTGGGGGGGGTGGGGGGGTGGAACCATGGGTAAAAAGAGGCATCAAAAGCCATGTTAAAATCGCTTCTTTCTGCTGAATCCCAGCTTCCTCGGGGTCTGCGGGGAGCCAGGGACACCCCTCTTGTTCTCAAGCCCTCCTCTCACAGCAGAGAACTCACCTTTGTCGCCCTCCTCCCCTTGCAGATGGCAGCCCTCCAAAGCCCGTTCTACGGAGATAAAATGAATCTTTTCTCCCTCTGCCAGAAGATCGAACAATGTGACTACCCCCCTCTCCCTGGAGAACATTACTCTGAAAAGGTGAGCCTGCTGGTGGGGAGTGGCTGGGGCCAGGGCCCTGGGCCGGGCTGGAAAACTCAGCTGGGGGCATGGTGGGGGGCAGGAGCAGGGGTTAAACATCGCTTCACTTAAGATGGAGAGGATTGCTAGAAAAGTGACTCACCCCAGCGGGGTAGCAAGTAGATGACCTTTTAACCAAAGCTGGGGCTTTATGGAGGGCTGAGCGGCCCCCAACAGCTGCCGTGCTCTGCCCAGTGGCAGCGGGAACAACAGGAGCTGGCGGATGTGCCTTGGCAGCACACTTCTGCCAACACATTTGGCTTCTCACACTGTGCTTACGTATGAGCCCTGCTGCTGTAAAGTCCCATGTCAGTGAGTTACATAAAACCCAGAGACTTGCCGCCTTCCTCCCGTAACAGAGCTATGCCATACCCTCATTGTGCCTGTGGTACAGGGCTCTGGAGACCCTGCCCTTGGACGGAGCTGGTTACAACGGTGGGAGAGCATCACCCTCCGCAGTTCCGTCATCTGGAAAACTGGGCTAATACTTCTCCTTTGAGGATGAAATGATAGGTTGTATAGCACAACAGTGGTTATGAACATAGACAGGTTCACACTCCCTCCACTGTTCTTGGGTGAGTCACTTTACCTCCCTGGACTTGTGTCTTCATCTGTCAACAAGGATAATATTAGATAATCCTCACCATATGCTTCCCGTATTTTGCCCTTGGAATCCTTCAATAGTGCAACTCAAGGCTTGAGTTTTTTTCCTTCAGTTCTCTCTGCTTGGGAAATGCAAGTTCTTCCTGTTTGGGTCTTTACACATTTCTTTATAACACTTTGTTCGTTCCAACAGACAGGACATTTTTGAGTCATGGTGGGCTCAGGCAGATGACTGCCTAAGTGAAGTGCTCACATATTTGGGCCGCACTGAGGCCCCTGGGAATGGGGGGACACAAGCCACTCGAGGCCATGAAGCTATCATAGCACCCTTTGGCATTTCCAAGCCCGGCAACCACACACCTTCACACCGCCCTGTCAGGACCACTTTGTGCTGATGGCTCTGGGATTCCATCTACTTACTGAACCCCAGCCTGTCCACCTGCTACATGGGAAGAGCTGTGCCTGTTCTGGAAGAAAGATGAAGCTTTCTACGCCTGTAAAGACTTACAGTCTCAGAAACCCTCAGGGGCTGTTTCTACCCTGTCCTGTAGTGTCCCTAGGAGAAGGAATCAACTCAGTGGCAGTGGATGAATGCCCGTTCTGCCTTGTCATGGGCCGGATAAGTGGCAGACACGAGAGGGCTTTGAAAACCCCTAAGAGACAGAAAGAATACACAGAGGCACCATCATCAAAAAGGATTGGTCCGGGCCCCACCATCTTAACAGGTAGTATATGATCAAGAATTTGGGGTAGTGAAGGAAGAAGTCCAAGCAATAATGGAGGCATTGGTGAAATATGAGTCTCCAGGAACTGGCTGAGTACAATCGAGATATTTCAACAAATATATGCATCGCTGAAAGTGCTCACTAATCTATGCCAAAAAATTAGGACAACTGCGTAGCCAACCAACTGCCAAAGAAAAGTGATCCAATAGAATATAGGAATTCTCCAACAGCGTCCACGCCACACCCAAGTACAGTTTTGCTCAAGAGAATTTGAAGTCACAGCCATCCATCATTGTGGGGACTGCCAGAAAGTCAAGCCAGATGCAGAAGAGTGTGTGGAATAAGGGATATTACTGTCGATGTCAGGCAGATCTTGGCTGAAAGCAGAGAATATCAGAAAGCTGTTTACTTGTGTTTTATTGACCATGCCAACGCATTTAACTGTGCAGACAACAAATTACGGGTCACATTGTGAGGAATAGGAATTCCAGAACACTTCATTTGCTCACGCAGAACCTGTACAGAAACCAAGAAACCGCTGTTCCAACAAAACAATGAGAAACTGTGTGCTTTCAAACCAGGAGATGAAATGTTCACCATACTTAATCTGTCTATATGCTGAGCAAAGAACCCAGGAAGCTGAGCTGTATGAAGAACTCGGCATCGGGATTGGAGGCGGTATCAGTCTAGGTACTTTAGAGAAACAAATCCACAGCACTCATGTATGAGAGAGTTTTA